CCCCCCCCAAATATATTTCTCCAAGACTCTCTTCTGTGATATGACTTGGGAATCCTCTGGAAGGGTCTCTAAATAGCCAATCTCACTAATGACCACATTCAATTCTAGGCTCTCAGAAATACAAAGACAGGAATTCTGTTACCTGTCTTTCCCATGCCCTATTCCTGGCCTTGAAGAAACACTAAACAAACATTTGTTTGCTCACTCATTCATTCACAAAATATTTACTGACCACCTAGTGTGTGCCAAGCAGGCACTGTTTTAGATACTTGAGACATATTAGTAAAAAGGGGGGGGGGGGCTGCAGGGCAAAAATCCCTGCCCTCATGAGGCTTATCTTCTTGTGAGGGAACACAGGCCATAANGTTTGCTCACTCATTCATTCAGAAAATATTTACTGACCACCTAGTGTGTGCCAAGCAGGCACTGTTCTAGATACTTGAGACATATTAGTAAAAAGGGGGGGGGGGGCTGCAGGGCAAAAATCCCTGCCCTCATGAGGCTTATCTTCTTGTGAGGGAACACAGGCCATAATCCAAAAACGTATTAAGTAACTAGGTTATACAGAATGCCCAGTGGTGTTCAGTGCCATGGAAAAAGAAAAATTAGATGAAGGTAAAGGAACCTGGGATTAAAATGCCTACTCTACTGGCAGCAGTGGTCTTAGGTTCAAGTTGATAATCACACTCACGAGGCACCGGAAGCTTCCCTCAGCACCCAGCTTTAATAAAGGACACAGGACAGACAAGAGCAAGCCCAGCGCCAGCAGAGCCCAGGTCTCACACTCCAGCACGCAGTCTCTAATGTCCACACAGGCACTGAACACGTGGGATGTGTCTGGCAATGACAGATGAAGATGGGTGGGCAGGGCCACTTTCGGTGCTTGTACCCTGCCAGCTGAAGAGCCCCTTCGGGAGCACGGATGAGCTCCCATTCATTCTCCATCCCAGCTACCTCCTGCTAGTACGTTTCAGCACTGAAGTATATACAGGTGCTTGCTCTGCTACCTAGAAGCTTCAGCAGGATTCTCTGGAAGTACAGCTCTACTCCTATACATTGCTTGAGTTCTTGCTGCAAGGGGGATTATAGAGGTTCAAATCCCCAGGCATCTCCGAGTCTAGAGAAAAGGCCCCAGAACTAACTGTTACCCCATCTCTTTCCAGGACTGCAGTATGTGGGGATACGGCTTGAAATTTTAAGCAGGGTGCTACCCGGTGGTGCCTCTCCGAGAAGGCACTATTTTGTCAAAGCTTGGAGGGAGCCAAGGGAGTGATCCACGCAGGGATGTGGGAAGGATACTGCAGAGAGGAAAGCTGGTGCGAAGGCCCTGAGGTCTATTAGAGGAATCTGCTTTATTTCAGGAACAGCAAGAGAAAACCAGGGCAGTAGAAGGTGGGGGCAGTGGAAAGTGAAAATGTCAGAGAACTGAGAGGCCAGATCATGTAGCGTCTTGTACACCATTGTTCGGACTCTTGACTTCTGCTGTGAAGGAAACAAGATTCCTTGCAAGATTTTGAGCAGAGCAGAAATAGGAACATATTTAAAAAATAAAAACCTCAGAAAAATGTCTTGAAAGAATATTCACTTGCTTTTCTTCTTCAGTTTCATTTGGAAGCTAATGAAAATCCACTACCAGTACCAAATGGAAGGTGTGCCACTGAGCAAAGGAGGCGCCTGTGACACAGTCACGTAAATTAATGTGTGCAGTCCTTGCCTGTGTCTGCTTCTGTCTGCTCCTCTGACCCTCCAGTCATGTGTAAACCTCTCTGCAAAATAAAACTTAACCCTCCCTGTAATGTGAAAAAAAAAAAAAAAAAAAGATTGTTTGGCAGTTTCTCACAAAGCTAAACATATTTGTACATATGATCCAGCCATCATGCTCCTTGGTATCTACCCCAAGATGCTGAAAACTTGTGTCCACACAAAAACCTGCGCGCTTATTTTTTAGCAGCTTATTCACAGTTGCCAAAACTTGGAAGCAACCGTGATGTCCTTCAGGAGGTGAATGGATAAACAAAGCGGGGTACATCCAGACAAGGAATTATTATTCAGTGATTTTAAAAAAAAAGCTATCAAGACATGAACGACATGGAGGAAACAAACACATACTACTCAGTGAAATGTGCCAATGTCAAAAGCCCACATACTTGTGATTCCAATGACGATGACCTCCTGGAAAAGGCAAAATTATGGAAATAGTAAAAAGATCAGGGGTTGGAAGGGGAAGTGATGAATGGGCAAAACACAGAGGACTTTTAGGGCAGTAAAAATACTCTATCATACTATGATAGTAGATATATGTCATTATATATTTGTCCAAATCACAGAGACTTTAGATTAACAGTAAGTAGGAACGAAGAGACTAGTTAGGGTTACTCTAATCCAGCATTTATCAACCTTTTCCATCTCATGGCACACATAATTACTAAAACGGTAGCACCCCAAAAATATATATTTTTTGCCATTCTGACAAAAAAACAAAACAGGTATAACTTTGATTTGTGCACACTGGACAGCTATTGTTGTGTTGGCTGTTATTTTTTTATCTGACAATTAAGGGAAAACAGGTCAGTGCTTCTGACTAAACAGTCATGTATTGCACATTTTAAAAATTCTTGATGTCCAGCGGTTGAAAATAGCCGCTCTAATCCCAGCAAGGAAGGACTGTAGCAATGCATTGACCAGAAATGGTTAGATTCTGGATGTCTCATCAAGGCTGAGCCAGTAGAATTTCCCGACAGCTGGAATGTGATTTCAAAGAGTCAAAGAGGGACTCCAGTGATTCTGGCCTGGGCAACTGGAAGGGTGGTGTTGCCATCAACTGATATGGAGACAGCTAAGGACAGAGAAAGTCAGAGGGCAGATCAGAAGTTGAGTTTGGGGTGTGCTAAGTTTGAAATGTCTTTGAGATACCCTACTGATGATACCAGGTCAGGATATTTGAATCTGGATTAAGGAGAGAAGTTTGGAATATGATAGCCTTTGATATAGAAATGGAATTTTAAGCAAAAGAGTGGATGAGATAGTCAAGGATTGAGTACAAATAGAAAAAAGAACTGAGGACTGAGTCCCAAGGTGCTCTGACCTTAAGAGGTCTGGCAAAAGTTTGAGAACTCATAAAAGGAGCCTGGCAGAGAAGCCAAAAAGTAGGAGGAGACCAAGTGTGTGTGTGGGGGGGGAGTGCTGTAAGTCAAACTGCCAAACTATGTGAAATACAATAGGTCAAGTAAAATGAGTGT